TTGTTTTAGTTTGAAGAGTTTGTGTGAGCGTTGAGGGTAGAAGAAATCGTATTTCCGCGCCTGAGTTTTAGTCTGAAGGAAGTTCGTTCACTATAGAGGTAAAAGAAACCTTATTAATTTAATCTGTATGTTTATTGTGTTGTATGAACGATCGTTAATGGACTGAGATGAATATAATGCATGATGATTGATATGTTGGTTTGTATGAATGTTGTATGATGTTTATTGTGGAGTTAAAAAATTTTTGAGATGATTAGATTGTACGAAGAATGCCAAATTGATTTTGATAATGAATTTATAAAGTTTATGAAATGATGTATTGAAAATGAGTGGAAGATAAATGAGATCTGAATATGAACTTTCCCTATGATAATGTCGTTTCATTGACGTCCTTGACCGTTCGGTGTTTCTAGTAAACTCCTTTGAAATTGAATTCTTTCATTTGGGAAGATTTCTAGTTGAGGACGAGCGCCTTCTTGTAATAGTGCTATGTTTGAGCGTTCGCCAAACGTAGTGTACCTGAGTGTTACGTGAGGACTGAAAATCTTGTAAACATGATTTGTATATTCTGTTATTCTTAAACACTGTCTCCAACGTGTCTTATCATATTTACTATTATTAATTTTCTATTATAAGTTTAAATTAGTGATAGGTCTCACCCCAAGGCTCTCGTAATGAGTGCGCTCGGTCTTATACCGAACGCTCGTACTCGTTTTAATTTATCAATCTTGATGAAACAGCGTTCGTCCAATTTCAGTAGAATCTCTTTTACCGTGTTCGGTCATTGACTGACATTAGGTTTCTGTATTTGAATTATTCCAAATATGGTTCTTTAACATCTTAACGTGTTTGCATTCGTTGGATCCAACCTAGGCCTCCATACTTGATTTATAATTTGAGTGTTGGTTTGAACTCCCGAGAGTCAGTTATTTAACTGATTCACGATGTAAATAACGGTCGTCATATTTATTAATTGGTACCCGTTCATTCATTAAATCTAATAGTAACTCTTTTGGTCTTTTCTACTCTGGAACGAAGATTTCTCGCGCTCTCGTTCCTATCGTTCGTCCTCGTTCTGAAGAGGGATGAACGTTCGGTAATTGATGTTCTTAGAATTTGTGATAAAGATGACACCAAAATGAAGAATATAAAAAGATAAAGAGTATATGAGATGAATGTAAGGTGTGGATTTTGAACGAGCGTTCCAGGGAGGAACGACTCTTGGATGAATATTGACATGGTAAAGTATGATGTGGTAATGCTTAGCTGGCGGTTCATCCTGATGTTCCGTGGAGTACTCGTCCTCACGTAGAGGAGGTAGGTGCATCGTGGAAAACGACAAGAGTCCTAGTCCTTAGGGTACTTTGGACCAGATAGGACTAACCTCGGGTGGCAAGCGAAATCTGTTACTATAGAGCTAGTTCGCGTAACAGTACATCACCCGGGTGCACGAACGTCGTAGCTACCTACAGAATTCATACCAATCCGGACAGTTAGTCTAGTGATAGCCTTGCTTAGAGTGTATGATGAATGTTATTTGATGTGTCTGATAATTGAAATGTATGTGTAATACTTGAATTAAATTACATAAGCTTACCCTATGTTTTCCTGTGTTGTCTCGTTTTGTACGTTCGTCCTTGTCGTTGCAATGATCATCCGGTGTGGATGTGAGCAGAAGGAGACAGACAGCTTCTGGAAGAGGCGCTAGAAGAAGAAAATTTGGTGGAAGTAGAAGTGAAGACCGAACAATAGGACGTTCGGTCAGTAGTTTAGTTTGAATGTAAGGTGGTCACCTTTCCCTTTGAGTAATTTGACCGATCGGTAATTCATTTTGTAAACCGTTCGGTCATGTTTGCTGATTTGGTACAGTTTAAGTGTGTTGCTATTTTGTAAAGACCGTTCGGCCAAGGATCGTACGCTCTTTTTAAATTTTAAGACTGATCTGAATTATGATTAATTATAATTATTTTATTATATAGTTTATACTGTATTTTTGGGATGTTACATAAATACAATAAAATTTATAGAACACATAGATATAGTAAAACATAAAAGAAGTTGTTGATACAATAAATAGATTTAGAGTATTGTTATTATAACATAAAAACTTATATAGAAATCACATAAACTTTGTAGAACTCTCACACAAAATAGGCTTCTGTTCAAAATGTTTCAAAATTGGTCTGTCAATATCCATCATATCCAATATTGATACCAAAAATGAAAAAAAAAACTAAAATTTTGATTAGTTGTTTTAACACTCTTATTAAATTTTTAAAAAAAGTTGTAGATACATTTTTATTTAAATGAATTATCTAATAAGTATCAATAAAATTTATTTTTTCTAAAAAATATTTTTTTTTAAATTAAAATATTATTTCACTAAATTTGTTATTAATGATTTTTAGATATGTAGTTTTCACATAATTATGTATTAATTATTTGTTGATTAAAGAAGAAGATTGATACCTTATTCTTAACATAGAAGCACAATTTTGATGTAAAATGAAGAAAAATGAAATCTTATTCATGATGATGATTTATGGAGAACTCTTAAAGAGTTAAAAGAATGTTTAGATTCAATAATTATTTAAGAATTATTGAAAGTTTAAAATGTTTGGATTTACATTAAAAGTTGAATGTTTAGATTAAATGTTTAGATTTAAGTGTTACATTACATACTTATAATTTTAGTAGTTAAAGTCATGTAATCTATATTAATTAACATAAAAAAAATAAGAGATTATAAGTCAAAAGTGCATGGAGAGAGTTTAATTTTTTTTCAATACTCATTGAAATAATCCATTATTATTAGTTATAATCAATTGTTAAAGAAAAAAAAATTACTTTTGAGAAATGCAGCCAGAATAATCTATTGTTGTTTACAAGAATCAATTATTAGCTACAATTATAAATTTGACTTTTCATATTTTAACTCTAATTACGATAAGATAATGACTTTTTTTAAATAAAGAGGAAAGTTATAGTTAAGGAGTAGTAGAGATTTGACAAGGACTGAAAAACTTTATGTGAAAACTTTGAAAATCTAATGTGAGTAGTAGACGGTTTAAATTTCATTATGTAAAATTGATACCCATTATGTAATTTAAATACAATGTTCCTTTTTTCTGACTTCAGGAAAAATATTTTATTTTTATTTTTTTTGTGTGATTCAATATAGGTATCTTCATCCTTTATGAAACTCAAAAGAGTTGTTCAATCTAATGGATTTCAAAAAAGACATTTCTCATGTGACTTTTTTAAATTGTTCTTACTCCTATTTGTAATATCATATTATTTTAGTATTAATCTTTTCTTAGTGATTAACAATTAAACGTAAAAATTTTAATTTGTATTCTCTTTAATTGAATGTTTTTATTACATAGAAAATAATTTTTATTGTAACTCTTATATTTAAAAGGGAAAAATTTTAAAGGTATAAATTTTTATTTCAAAACCAATTAACTCCATTTTTTTGTTTTGGTCTAGAGTAAATATTTCGTTGTGCAACGATTCTACCATTATTAAAATTACTTTTTATAAATTAAACTAAATAAAAAATAAACATAATCGAATAAATATTTAAAATATTATGAAAATTAAATATATTTTTAATTTTGAAATAAATAATAATAAATAAAATAAAACCAAAAGTAATAATATATTTAATTATAAAACAGTAATATAAAATTTAAATACATTTTGAAATTATTTTTTTATAAATTAAACTATATAAAACTAAACATAGCCCAATAAATATTTAAAGTATTATAGTAATTAATTTTTTAATATTGAACTAAATAATAATAAATAAAATAAAAATGAAATTTATTTAGTTTTGAAAATTAATTTCTTAAATTAAACTACTATCTTACTAAATTATTTATATTAATTTTTTGAGTATGTAGATTTCAAATATTTGTTAATTATTGAAATTAATTTTTTTATAAATAAACTATATAAAAAATAAACATAATCTAATAAATATTAAAAAAATATTATAGTAAGTAAATGTATTTTTAAAATTGACCTAAATAATAATAAATAAAATAAAACTAAGAATAATAAAAATATATTAAAATGTTAAACAACACTAAAAAAATTTCAATACATTGAGAAATATTTATTAGTTATTGAAATTAAATTTTTTTATAAATTAAATTGTATAAAAATTAAACATTATCCAGTAAATGTTAAAATTATTATAGTAATTAAATATAATTTCCATATTAAAATAAATAGTAACAAATAAAATAAAACTACAAATATTAGAAGGTATATAAAAAAATAAAAATCGTTTATAAATCAAAATAACTAAATATTTTAAACAGCATTGAATTGTCCAAATAAGAGCAGTGGAGAGGGAAAGAGTAACTAAAAGACAAAAAAGAGAATGGGCAGTGAAGAGAGAAAGAGTAGCAAAGACAAAGACAAAAAAACCAGAAAAGTGGACTCGTGTCAAACAAAAATGATGGGCAAAACAGTAAATAGGGTGTCTGAAAAGATAAAAAAAAAAACTATTTTTTTGACAGGTCTCAAGAAAAGAAATAAGGTTAATAATGTAATTTTCATAAGTAATTCTTACTTTTCTTATATTATAGTTGATTAAGTTGATTTCACTTCATTAAATTTATCACTTTATTTTATTTGTATATTATTAGGAAAAGTTAATAGAAAAATTACATTATTAGATTATTTGACTTCATTAAATTTATCACTTTATTTTATTTGTATATTATTAGGATTCAAGTAAATGTTTTTCTTTAGTCACCTACATACTAATATTATTTTATTTTATTAGAGAGAAAGTATAAAAACAAAATCTCCTCCACTTCATTGTCAAATATTTTAAAATTTGTATAAGCAGGGGTAGTGGCTGTGAAGTGCAAGTACTGTCAAACATCTTGAAAAGCAATAATTAAATAAGATATAAAACTCTACAATTTTTTATAATTTCTAGAAAATAGTCATTAAAAAAACATTTAAAAAAGTGCGTAACTGCATTTGTCATGTTAGTAGTTCCCTAATTGTTAAAATGTTTATAGCAAATGAAGAACAGGAAATGCCACAGGCCTCAAACTAACATGAACTGAATTTGAGATAACCAATACATTGGGAAATCTATGAATTGAAGCGGGAAAACAGAAGTCTGAGAACAACATCCTTTGTGGGAAGTGAAGGTATGGCTCCTCTCCTTGTTACTGTGACAGCACCACAAGCATTTGCAAAATCAAGGGCCTCCCTTAACCTTTTCTCATCCTAATAGTGGCACAAGGAACACACCTTCAATAATTCTCTTAGGGTTTGTTATGAAATGTAAAACTAGTTTTGATAACATGAAAAAATTATTTTTGTTGGATATGTCTTAGGTTTTCATGCATGCCTTATGAATCGCAAGAAATCAGGTTAACTAAGAGGGGTGAAATCTGATCAGATGTGATGCCAGTAACTGAATAAGTAGTATTTTTGTGACCTTATAGATATGATTGTGTGCAGCCACAATGCTCAATAATCCTGCTACAAACGAATCACCTGCTCCAGTTGTATCAACTACTTCCACTTTAAAACCAGCAAGCCATCCTTTAAAGTCCTGAGCAGAAAATCTAAATGATTAAACACAATCAACCTATTTTGGCTTAGAAAATACAGAGATTTCGTTTAATGTATTTAGGACAAAATGTGTACACCATAAATACATTTGTGACTTACTCCTCAACAACATTTATCAGTAGACAACATTATGGTTGCAAAAATAAATAGAATAGAGATCATGCAAGTTTTTGTTTGTGGAATAAAACCTTGGTGTAGTATCTACAGCCTCGTCCTTCTTCAGTGACAACCAGAAGTTTGAGATTGTAGTGGTACAGCTTCATCATGATCACTTTGTCATCATAAGGATCATCACCTTCGATCAAGAGTCGAAGTTCATCCACACTTACCTATACTTCATAACAGACAGTGTGTATGTACATTAATAGAGTTAATACTCATTTTCATGAACAATAAATAGTTCCTTTAGTATAGAGACCAAATAGGTTTTTCAATATCATTCTTTGACAGCAAATGATCCCCTTTTGGAGGGCAATTTTATCTCAAAATGACAGTGAAGGAACATTTTGAAAAACTCACTCACAAACAAAACATGTACCTTAATAATGTCGGCATAGTTCCAGATACTCATGATGCCCTGTCTTGCAGCCTCCTTTGATGGCCATAGTGGCAATGCCAAATTTGGAGAATAGGAAAGGATACAGCCTGAGACTTTGGCAACACTCATTGCTGCAAGGTGAGCTGACCTACAAGGCTCCGTAATTAAACTGACTGAACCATAATGAAATATTGTGGCCTGCACAGCAAAATATACTTAAGATCTATGTTTCGGAACACAAAATTGTAGCATTTCTTTGAAGATCTCATGTTGAGTAACAGGGTTCAAGTAGTGTTTCTAAGTGGAGAACGAACTAGTTTCTTAGCCTCGACCCAAATTCTATGATGATATCAAAGTATGTTTTGTTATCATGTCTTTAAGTCTATCCGCTACAAAGTGGAGTATACAGTTTATTTTGAGAAATTGAGTTAAGCATAATTACAAACATTAGTTATGCTAGATGAAATGAAAAAAAGGTGGATTTCCATGTGTACTTTATATTACCTTCTTTATGAGGCTTGGATCAATCTCTTGAGGACGAAGAAGCATATCAGCACTTGGATTTCTGTAAAACATGAATTCAGGTTCTCCGTTACTCTTAAGAGCATAAAATGCCAATGCTGTTCTTGCATCATCATCAAAGAGTAGGCCCGAACTGTCAACACCATTTTGTTTCAGAATATCAGATAACATACAGCCAAATTCATCATTTCCCACCTTCCTTGCAAATATTAGAGACACTGTGGTCAGAAAAATGGACACAAGTAGATTAAAATGAAAGAATGAAAGGAAAGATTCACATCTAAAGACTTTGCACATTGAATTTTGTTTTAGTCAAGATAAAATTCCAGAGCACAAAATATGCTCCTAATTGATATGAAACAAAAACTTGGAAAGAATATTGTAATGTATTTTCCAAATTGCAGTGCTCTTGAATCATCAGGGGATCAGAAACTATGAAACAAGAAAACGTATACTTCAGAAGCTAAACCGTTAAGGAAACACATGCTTATGTACACACATATTTATCATATCTTCATCAGTAATTACAGTAATTATAAAAAAGTAAATACATTGAGTTTTCTTATAAACTAAAATCCACTTATATACCTTAATCTTTTAAGAAGTTTAAAGAAAAGAAAGTCTATAAAACTAAGATAAGTTTTGATGATTTTGACTTGGCTAAAAACTTAACTCATTTACCTTTTCATTTTTAATTTTAAAGTGTTTATGAAAAGCTTATTCAAACATTCATTGTTTCATGCATATGAAGCAAATTCAGCTGTAAGTACCAAGCATTATGATTTAGCACATGGAATTTTTGCAGAGAATATAAACATAATAATAATATGGGAGAGAAATGAGTTTGAAAATATATATTGAGCACATTGCTAATATTATATATTGTGCACATTGCTAATATAGTATTAGAGAATTTCACCTTGCCAATAAAAGCTGCTGAAACTCCTAATCTAGAAATTCCGACTGCAACATTGGCAGTGGCCCCAGAAGGGAATTTCTTATAGGCTGCTGCCTCTGCAAGGGACATTGGTAACACCGTTGGGACCAAATTCATCATCATCTCCCCAAAGCAAACAATCAGAGGCCCTTTATAGTTCTCTTTTCTCCGATGTTTAGATGAACCTGCAAATAACAAGTACAACTCATTACTCGTTATCACATTGGACAGAATCGTGAAAAACATTGGCACTCATAATGTTCTTTAACTTCAATCAATTTAGCATATACTCCTGAAATAAGTACATATGATTTGAAGTTTTTAATCTAATGTTAATTAGTTATTCCACTTAAGCTCCTAATAGTAATAACGTTGAGCAGTAGATATGTGGGTGCAAACTTCACTCACAAACCGATTTTTGTAAAATTGAGTTAGGTCTAAAACTCACTTCTTAACATGGTATCAGAGTTATGAATTAAAGCATATTCTAGCAAAAATTGTTATTGTTGGAACTATACTATTGGGCTGATATAGGACCAATGTATAGTCACATATTGAGATGTATATCTTCGAACTTAGGAAAGTGTGATGGAGATCTCATATTAACTAAAAATAAGACGAATTTACACTATGGATAGTACAGAAAAAAATGAAAAAAAAAATTATATTTCTCATCTAATTTCACATCTACTATATGAGTGAATGCTCATTGAAAACTTGTTGATAGAATATTAACACCTCGGCAACACAGCTCGACAACGCCTCCTCATTCTGTCAATGTCTTTCTGTTTCTTTCCTGTTTTTCCTTTCTTTTTCCAATATAATCGTTCCCCTCTTGTAAGAACGTGACACAATTGTATTCTTCTTCCTTTTCTCTTATCAAAATATTATTCTGCACTTATGATTTGTGCTCATTCCATTTCCTTAATCTTCTTCTCCTTCACACTCTCTTTCGTCTTCATTGACATGGCTTCCACTATTGGTTTAATAAATACCTCGATACTGTGAATTACATTATGGTATCTGATAGGCCCTTGTTAGTTTACAAAAGGAGAGAAAGAATTAAAGAGCCTAACAATATTAACGGTTAGGAGGGGAGCGGGAAAGTATTGTATAAATAACCTCTGTTTAGCAGAAGGAGGGGGTTGTTGACAGTTGTATACAGACAGGTTCTTTGAACCTTGTGAGGGAGGTTATGCTCCCCAGACTATTGATTGTAAATGCTAATTCTTGTGAAATACCAGAATTCTTTCATTCATCTTTGCACCTTGGTGTGTGTGAGAGTGTTTTGGCTAGGTTTCCCATTTAGAAACCTAACATTTGGTCCGACCTATCGGATCTGAGGAGGGGTGTGCGGGAATTCGATGGAGGGAAGTGCGGACGAAAGGTTCAATGTGATGGAAGGCTGGTTAGAGACGATAGAAATTGCGTTTGACGGGATTAAGGCAGAAACAGGAGCGTTGTGCCAAGATACTATCGCAATACGTCAAGAATTGAAGGAAATTGCGAGGATGTTGGGGGGAAGAGGTCGAAATCAAGATGACCATCAATCAGAGGATAGTCANCTTGGTGTGTGTGAGAGTGTTTTGGCTAGGTTTCCCATTTAGAAACCTAACATTTGGTCCGACCTATCGGATCTGAGGAGGGGTGTGCGGGAATTCGATGGAGGGAAGTGCGGACGAAAGGTTCAATGTGATGGAAGGCTGGTTAGAGACGATAGAAATTGCGTTTGACGGGATTAAGGCAGAAACAGGAGCGTTGTGCCAAGATACTATCGCAATACGTCAAGAATTGAAGGAAATTGCGAGGATGTTGGGGGGAAGAGGTCGAAATCAAGATGACCATCAATCAGAGGATAGTCAAGCGCCGGTCAATGAGAACGAAAGGAGACAAGGGGAGGACAAAAACGGAAGAGGAAGTAGTCGTCCCGAGAGCACGCTTAATTGGAGGAAGATAGTAGAACTACCCATCTTTGAAGGATCGGATCCACTCAACTGGATCAATAGAGCGGACCGATTTTTTGACTTGCAAGGGGTAAAGGAGGATGAGGAGAAGGTGAGGTTGGCGTATATTAGTATGGAGGGCAGTGCTGGATATTGGATCCAATTTTGGAAAGAGAAAGCCAGAGACCAATCTTGGGCGAGGTTGAAGGAAGCGATGGTAGCACGGTTCGGAGGAAGAAGCAGGGGAACCGTATTTTAAAGGTTGGACACCATCAAGCAGACTGATTCGGTGGATGAGTTCATCAAAGAATTTGAAATCTTGGTAGGCCAAACGTCGAAGCTACCAGAGGAAATTTTGTTGGGATATTTCATGGCTGGGTTGCAAGAAACGATACGTAACCAGGTGCGATTACACAATCCTTAAGAACTAATGGTCGCCATGCGTATCGCCCGAGACGGAGAGGAGGTGTGAAGGCGGGGGGAACGGGAAGAAATATATCGAACTGGAATAAACCGATCGATATGGTGTCGTGGGTAGAAATTGTGCGGCAAAACCAAAACCAAACGGGGCTAGCGGGGAGTAGTGGGTCGCTGCGTAGAGAAGCGACAAATGTTTCAGATGTGGAGGGGCCTTCGGGCCTAGGCATCGATGCCTAGAAAGGGGTTTGAGGATGTTGATTTTGGCAGAGGACGAAGAGGGAGAGGAGACTGAAATAGAGTCGGAGTTAGCCCAGGTGCAAATGGAAATGTTGGTGTGCTCTGTAGGGGGACTGACACAGGCTAAGACGATGAAGTTACAAGGAGAAATTGGGGAAAGAAGGGTGTTAGTCCTAATTGACAGTGGCACGAGCCACAATTTCATTACCAAGGAACTTGTGGAAGAATTGAGATTAAACACGACAGAGACGGGGCGTTACCTGGTTAGTCTGGGCAATGGTCAGATAAAGGAAACCAGCGGGTGTTGCTAGGGTGTGCAAATTCGTTTAGGGGAAGTGGAGGTGATAAATAGATTCCACCTGTTTAAATTAGGAGGAGTTGATGTGATTATGGGGGTGAAATGGTTGACTACTTTAGGGGAGGTAACTTTGGACTGGAGCAAGCTCACCATGACTTTCAACAAGGAGGGTAGGAGAGTAACTATAAGAGGGGATCCTACGCTAACCCAAAGCTTGGTAGCCCTAGAAGCATTGTTGAAAATAAAGGAGGTGGAGGTTTGGATGCTGGACCAGTATGCCGGAGTGTTCCAGGAACCTAGCGGGTTGCCCCTACAAAGACTGATGGTGCATCAAATACCCCTGAAGGAGGGAGTTGGCCCAATAAATGTGAGGCCCTATAGGTACCCACATGTGCTGAAGAATGAAACAGAGAAGCAAGTGGCAGGGATGCTGCAAACAGGGATGCTGCAAACAGGGATGATACGACCAAGCAATAACCCTTATTCCAGCCCGGTTATATTGGTGAAGAAGAAGGATGGGTCGTGGCGATTCTGCGTGGACTATAGGGCCCTAAACCGTTTTGTGGACAAATTCCTGGTTCTAGTGATCGAGGAGCTGCTGGATGAGTTGAGAGGAGCAACATATTTTTCCAAAGTTGATCTTAAGGCTGGTTATCATCAGATACGAATGGGAGAGCAGGACATTCAGAAGACAACGTTTCACACTCATTTGGGGCATTATGAATTCTTGGTAATGTCATTTGGCTTAACCAATGCCCCAACAACCTTTCAAAGCGCAATGAACGACTTATTGTAGCCTTGCCTAAGAAAATTCGTGCTAGTTTTCTTCGACGACATATTGATTTATAGCCAGTCGTGGGCAGAACATCTGGGGCATGTGGGGGTGGTGTTGAAGAAACTGGAGGAAAATCACTAGGTGGCTAACAGGAAGAAGTGCGAATTTGGACGGGTTCAGATAGGGTATCTCAGCTATTTGATTTTTGAAAAGGGGGTAGATATGGATTCGGGGAAAGTAAAAGTCGTGCTGAATTGGGAGAGACCAAGGAGTGTAAAAGCTTTGAGGGGATTTCTTGGATTGACTGGATATTACCGGCGCTTTATCAAGGACTATGGAAAAATTGCTAAGTCCTTAACCGATTTATTAAAGAAGGGAGAATATGGTTAGAGAGAACGGGCTGAAGAAGCTATGTCCAGATTGAAGAAAGCAGTTACTTCAGCCCCTGTGTTAGTGTAACCAGATTTTGATCAACCTTTCTACATAGAATGTGATGCCTCGGGAGGGGGAGTCGGAGCAGTGTTGACACAAGGCCGGAGACCCATAGCCTATTTCAGCAAAGCCTTATCAGAGGGGTCATTGACCAAGTCAATCTATGAAAAAGAACTCATGGCCCTGGTGATGGCCATACAACATTGGCGACCATACCTGCTGGGCCAACGGTTTGTAGTGCACACAGACCAGAAAAGCTTGCGATACTTGCTGGAGTAGCGAATTACAACCCAAAATCAGCAGAATTGGCTCGCCAAACTACTTGGGTATGACTTTGAAATAGTCTACAAGGCAAGAAACACCAACAAGGCAGCGGATGCACTATTCAGAAGAATAGAGGATCAGGGGGAAGGGGAGAAGGAATTGATGGTTGTGGCTCGACCGTATTGACAGGATTTTGGAGATATTCTAAAAGAGGTGGAGGAGGATGAACACTTAAGGAAGGTGAAGGAGGATATTAAGAAGAACCCAAACACACACCCACCCTTCACTATAGAAAGTGACAGACTGCATTACAAGGGTAGGTTGGTGATATCGGCTCGCTCATCATGGATTCCGAAATTGTTGGTCGAATTCCATCTAGCCCAATCTCTTTATTGGGTGGGCATGAAGAAAGTTGTTACAGACTATGTGGCGGGTTGTTTGGTATGTCAACAACACAAGTACCTTGCATCTTCTCCTCAAGGACTGCTGCAACCACTACCTATTCCTAATGCTGTGTGGGAGAAAGTTAGCATGGATTTTATAGTCAAGCTGCCAAGGTCGAATGGATTTGACACAGTGCTAGTGGTGGTGGATCACCTTAGCAAGTACGGCCATTTTGTGCCTATGAAGCATTCTTATTCAGCCTGCACGATAGCTGAAGTTTCCATAAAGAAGTGGTAAGGTTGCAAGGTATACCAACTTCTTTTGTAAGTGACAGGGATCTCCTATTCTTGAGTACTTTTTGGAAAGAATTGTTTAAGCGGCAAGGGACTCAGCTGTAGATGAGCACTGCTTACCACCCCGAGTCTGATGGTT